CTTTTACCTCCTTTCCCTTGCTCCTTTGCCCATTTATTCATTTTTTCTTGAATTTTCCTTTCCTCCCAGCTTAAGTCATTTTCTATAAATATTCTCCCTCTTTTAACTTGTGCTTATTTTTCATGATTTCTTTTTTTTTCTGTTCTCTCTACCTTAACTACACACCATATATACCATATACACACCACTCTCTGTCCGTAACTGTATTACATTCAACCTCTAACTTTTCCTTTATCTACTCTTTTACCCATACCTCTCTTCTTCTCTGCTTCTTTTCCCTGCCTTTTGATTCTTCCTCTATATTATATTTATCCCTTTTATGACAAAGTTCAGTCTCCTTTCCTCTCTTTCGCTATTTGTTACTCATCTTTTCAGTATATTAACCTCTCTCTAACTCAGCCCTGCCTCACTAAAAATCGATCCTGCTCTTGTATACGTGCTGTACTTTCCTCTATTTACTCCACTTCTAGTCTCTTCCTGTTCACTCTCTTCTTTCCTTATTCTTTCTCTAATCTCTCCCTCTAGCTGCTCAAATTTGACCCAAATCTCTGCCTCTTCTATTTGCTTTGCCCATTCCTCCTTCAGACTTTTGATTTCGCTTTCCATGCAGTTAAATGTCCATGGTTAAAATATTATAAATGACGTCGATATTTTGACGAATAAAAAAGATTTTAGGTATTATATTTTTGTAATTCGCGTGGAGAAATAGGTTGTATTCAGAGTATTGATTTGTTGCAATTTTCGAAAAAAATGTGTTCATCATTAATAAAATATTACTAGTAGATGATAGAATGTGTCAACATTATAAAATCAAGAAATTTTATTTAAGAAATTTTATTTAATATATAATTCTAATGTTGAAATAAAAAGTTTTATAAAATCAATACTTTTAATTGAATGAACTCTTATCATATTGTGGATAAAAATATCTTGAATTACTATCCACAAGAATATTTGGATACCCTGCTACGCAGTTGTGATTAACTACCTCATTTACGATAGTTTCGCAAATTCCATAAGTATTTACTAAAATCTGCTGAAATGAAATTTATTTCTTCAATACATTTATTGTATATTGAAGATGTATAAAATAATTTTACTGTAATATATAATTGACTAATTTATTAAGTACATTTATTTCGCTTCTTTTTAAAAAAACAGTTCTTTCGCGTGCGACGTTTAGAAATTAAAAAATCTGAACTTCTGAGCGTCAAAACACTGAAACTAATATGACAATACAAAATTATCTTGACATGTGTCAACTAACGGCCATGAAAAAGCATCTTTAAGGTGAAATCACACGATGCGGAAAAGTAGAAATACTAAAAGGAGAGATCAACCAAGGTCCGGCATGATGTTGTGAAACCGGAAATCACGTGTCTTGGAAATGCGCGTCAATATATCAATATACCAATTTCGATACATCACGTAACACTATTTGTTTGTTATAACTTTGTTATATCAAAGTTGTAATGAATAATTATTAGAAAAAGTTTATTTTTCGTAAATATAGAATTGTGAATAAAAATTTGTAGACAAAATTGACAAAAACGTGCAAAACATATTAAATTCGAATACAAAAGTTGCTTTCCATTTACACACAGTGATATTAAATCTGAAGTGATATGAATATTTTATATTCAAATAATGACTTTACTACTTGTTTATTTTGATGAAAACTTATCGCATAATAACACAGATTTCTAACCTCATATTTAATGTGAGTTAAGAAGACTTGGTAAAAACACACGGTCTCGAGTTTGTGCAGATTGTTGACAAAAACTCAGTTGAATTGGCAGAATGAAAAAGAAATGTGTATTCAACTGAAGTATGACGTCACAAATGAAAATTACCTAATGTTTTGGTGAGAAAATAGAAAATAACTCAATTTCTCCGAGAATCTATACAAGATTAGTTCGTTTATGCTGCAATTAATCCTATTTATTATTAAATTCTTCTTATAAATCTTGTATTATAATTACAATTTTTAAAAGGTGCGTACAAATGAGAATAATTGCGATAATTTACCAAGATCTAGCAGTTATTAAGGCTCAAACATAATAAAAGAAATTTAAAGACACAATAAAAGGAATTAATAACTGAAGTAGGAAATAGAGAATGAGGAATAATTCAATATGTTTATAATATTATAATAATAATAATAATAATAAAATAATTAGAATCATGCCAATATACAAATCGACACATGTTATACATGTGTAAAAAATGAACTTTATTAACAAATTAGATGTTTTGGTCATCTTCAGTAACAAATTGACGCAATCGAAAAATGTATATTGTAAAGTATGCTAATGTAGAGAATCACAGTGTAAAATTACAATAATTAATGTGGTTCAAATTTAAAATCTTCGTACGTCAATAATAATAAGTTTTTTCAATATATTAAATAAAATAAGGAATGTTACCTTATTCAATATATTAAATAAGAAAATTATTTGAAAATTATTAAACTAATCGATATTATCTTACCAATATTTTCTTGCTTTTTTCACTTTTCTTTTTCTTTTTCTTTCACTCTTTTTGTGAAATTGATTTAATTTCTGGCATTTAAATTTTCGAGGTAAGGGAACTCACCATGACAGGATAACTTTTATATGTTAGTTTTTGTTGTCTCTGAGGAAGGCTCAAAAGTAAGCTGAAACATGTAAGCGCGTTTGGTATAGTAAAGAAGTTTCACGCTTCGTTTGTGCGACGTCTTCTGCGCCTGACTTCTAGTGCCCGTGTTTTATCCAATTTCTTCTAATCGATATTGATGAAATCCTAAGTGATGATTGTACCACCTGAAACATAATGCATAATTTTCTTACTCTTAGTGACTAAACTATAATTAAAGAAAAAATAAAAAAGGGAAACACAAAGAGTATATATTAAACAAATTTATTATAAATTTCTATAAACTTTCAAATAAAAATTATTATAAATTTTATAAAAACTATTAAAAATAAACATTTACATAAATTAAAATGTTTAAATTACAACACATAATGATGCATTGCCATGCTCTTACTAGAATAAGTTATATTTTTTGTCACAGACATTTTTTAAGATGATAATCTCATACGTAATGTATAGTATCGTGAAATAATTTTAGTTTTCAAATTGTGACAAGGTGGAAGAGTGAATGGTATATCTTGGATTTCCATAAAAAGTTTCTTTAAGTTGACGCTTTCTTTGTGATTGTTCATATATTCTTGAAATATTCGAAATTTTGTCTCGATTTGAATGAAAAAAACATAATGTTGCTTTAATAAAAAATAAGATATTATTTTGACGAGCTCTAATGCGCGTTAATGTACTATAGTAATAAAAATTTGCATTTTTATTTCCTATTACAAATACATGCTTTGCATTTTTGTTTTTGAAAATATTCATTATTAAATAATCAGTTATATAATGCAATTTGTTTATATCTATATTGTTTAAAGTAATAGTGCGCGTTTTGCAGTAATTGTAAATCTCTGTGCGAATTGCTGGTCGGATTGTATCGTGAGTATTAGAAGTACGGTTTTGTATGATATTTAAAAATTCTGAAAGATACTCTCGGTTATCTTCTTGGTAACACTACTGTTTTTAATATCTTTTATATATTGAGAAATAGTAATTAATTTTAAATTATTCTTAAATTGAACAACATTTGGTATTACATTTTTTCTTCTGATAGTAGAAAATAGATTTTCTAAGCAATCTTGAGTTAAACGCGATGTTAAAAGAAATAGAAAGTCACAATCATTTATAAGATATTGTGATAAATCAATTACAGTCATGGTTGATAAAATTACAGCACTTTGGAATGGTTTCCAATGACCTTTATCTCCTACAGTTAAGTCTCTGAATAATATTATTACTTCGTTAAGAAAATCTATAACTTCTTTGAACTTTTCATTTTTTAATTTATTTAAAGCCAATGATAACTTTCGGTTAGACATTAAATCAAACCATTGCCGTACAACTGAAATAAACCATGCGGTACTTTGACGTCCATCATTTGGATTGTTATTATATAAAAATCGCAATGCCGAACTAATTTCATTGCTCATAATGCTCATAGCGTAAGATACTTTCATTTTTTGAAAATAAAACTTATTTCCCTCTACGTAATCTTTCTTAACTTTTGGAGTTAATTTTATATCACAATTTTCATCTTCTTTTATTACATCAGATAAGTATGAAGCCCTAACGTCACAAGTTGGCAGATTATACTTGTCAACGAAGTATTGAGGTATTTTGAACACTTTATTCAGCAGAAAACCACGAACAATATTTTTTAATGCATGCGGAACATCCGAATAAAAGTATAATTTGCGATTTGCATCGCAAATATGTTGACAATAATGATTAATCTGTATTCGCGATATTTTTATGATGAATTCCTTCCACATTGACTGATTGTTAGTACTCATATTTGAAATAACAGCTTGAACTGATAAGCCAATATTTTCCGCCTTTGAAATAATTTTGATTATTATTAATTTCAAAACATTTCCTGGGATCGTCGTTCCTGTAAAGTATAATAATATGCCACTGTTTGCTTCCATCTACTAGCCAATCCAGTTAACATGGAACATAATGCATGAGTTGCAATATTCTTTTGTTCTTTCTCTGATATAGTGACATATTCAGTATCGGAACTATGGTCGTAAAATTTTCCCGGTGTAATAGACATTTCATCTAGCACTAACACATAATATTTATCTGTTTGGTTTTTAAATTGAGAAATTAATCTTTAAAAATAAAAAAATTTCCTTACTTATCCCACTGTTAAATTTAAAAGTTTCCAATTTCTTCCTTAAAGTTTTAATATTTGGTAAAGGAAAATTTTGGCGTAACAGTTCATTGTACCCCGTCGTACCACATACAAACTTTAATGAATAAGCTTTTACTAGAGTTTCGTTAGACCAATACGGCATTCTCTTATAGTCATAAAGAAGCAATTTCATCTGATTTTTATCAAAAATCTTTGACAGATCCTTATTAAAACGCACTTCATTTTTTAAACGCTTCAGTTCCTTCTTCAGTTACAAACTTTTTTTTCATTTTAACTTTCAACTGTTCACTTGTTTTTAGCAGCTTCTCCAAATTCTGTGATGTAGTGCAGTGATCAAACGTTAAATATGTCGTAGTTCTGCTTAATGTGTATCCGAATTTAATACAGGTTCTTGGGAGTCTTCAATTGTATCTATCACTAATAAACAAGATAATTTATTATAATATATCAATGCACATTTTGTGCATATGATAAATTTTAAGTGCAATTATCCTTCATAAAGATTTGCAATTATTGATACAATATTACTAAAGATAATATAACTTAATATCAAATTTTGATATTGATAAAAATATTGATATTGATTCAAAATATAAGTGACAAACAAGGTCTTTCTAACATGCGATGAAGTAGTAAACTTAAAAATATGATAGCATTTATAAATAACTTCTTTTTACAATCTACTTTTTATTGATATTTATGAATGTAATCATTAACATGTAATCATTATTACATCCTATTTTATTATTTTATCGTTTGTAAATCATCATTTTTGCAATCATCATAATCAATTTCATTATCTGTTGCATCATGTATGCTATTACTGGCTTCATTTATCTTAAAATCCATTTCATGACCCGATTGCGATGCATCTTCAGCTCCCAGAAAAGTTTCAAATGCATCTATTTATTACAAATATTAACATTTACTACAATACCTTGATACATAAATTTAATGTGCAATTTTAGAAATTGTATTTAATTTCTGATATTTTATACTTAATAAAATGAAATGTCTTAAAATAAATATAATCAAATTATTATTGCAAAAATGTCTGTAAATACATTAATAAAATAAATATCTATAGAAGTTGTAATGAATGAACAAACAATTGTGATAGAATTTCTCCAAATTCTTGCATGTGATTAAATTATAAAAAGTAACATAATTAAGGAAAGACTCTTTCGAGTCTTTCTAAAGTCGAGAGTTTCTAAAATTTTTAACAAAATTTTTAATAAATTATTAATAAATAATATCAACACATACATTAATACATCTGCTTGTATCACATTCAAACATTCACAATTTTTATTCTGAAATGTTTCATTATATGCACCTGTTGCAGCCAAAGCATTCATATGTTTGAAAATTGTAGACACAGCATTTGCTTTCAAACATCTTGGTTTACTGTCTGGGTATGCTTCCCACATATCAGGAGAAAAATGGGCCTGTGAAATAAAATGAATTAATGTTTTACATATCACTCAAATACCCTTGTACAAGAGATTGACTCTGATTGATATTTTCAATATTCTCAAGTAAATCTTAATATCTATTGATTTCATATCAATTGGTATCAAATTAAAATATATTAGGTTTTAATCGATACCAATATATCATATTCAATAGTTTTCAAATATATTAAAATGTATTTTTAAACAATACCAATTGACATGTATTTTAAATATTTTTAAGTTATTGAATTTTGTATTACTGATATTAATTAAAATCTAATAGATTTAAATTGATTAGAAATATGTTGATTCAACTTATTTAAAGTATTAAATTTATTTATTTATCGACTTGTGTAACCGGAATCACTCCTTTCTTATCAAGGTACTTATCTAATATATCATCATATCATTATCATAATATCATTACACATAATTATTTTTACTTACATGACATGAACGCATATTTTCAATATCCAAATCTTCACGGTTAATGTACTTTAACCAAACTTTTCTCCTCTGCCCTCTCGGGATTTGATATATACTCGAAATTCTTTTTTTGAGGAATTTATGCAATAATCCGTACAGCAACTTATCATTTTCAAAACTAAAACATGTTCAAATAATATTTTCATAATAGCACTTTTAGATTAATTTACACAAAATGTATGTATGTATTTATAAATGAATTTTTATGTATGTATATATATATATATATATATATATATATATATATATATATATTATCAAAAGTTCTAGTGATACATTTTCATTGATAATTTTAAGCTTACTTACTGTAAAAGACTCGTCTAAGTTAAATTATTTTTGTGACAACTTAATCGTAAGCAGACGACGCTTCTCTCGCTCTCACATTCGCTTCTTTCAATCTCCCATTCGATTTCACAACATCATGGCAGAGCCAATCACGGATCGAGTCGCATTGGCCGATCTCTCCTTTTAGTATCTCTACGGCAGAATAATCAGCATTATTCTGCGTTATTCCGAATAGCGCTAATTAGTTGTTTCAATGACGCATTCTCTATTCCGCAGCTCTTTTTCGCACCGTATGATTTCACCCTTAGATACTGTTACATACATACTACACATGCATACATACGTGTGGCTGTGACAGTCACGTGACAGTCAATACTTCTAACTTTTCCCACAAGACACGATGACACTAGAATTACATCTGCCGAATTTTCCATGGGTTTTCCTACACCGTGTTTCGAGTCTACTTTTTTCGTGACCGCTTGAATTTGTTCTTATTGCTCCATGAAGAAATTCACGAATCTTGCAACACTATTTCCATCATGCTTTATTCATATTTATAAACAACGTAGAGTTCTTCTTTAAAGTTTGAATTCTTTATATGTGCATCTAGTACGTTAATGAGTTTCTAAATCATTGAAAAATAAAAACGTTCTTTTTGTTTTATTTGTGAAACATATTGTAAATGTATGTAATGTGTAATTAAAGATTTATTATTGATGTATTGAAGAAAAGAATTTGAGAATCTCTCCATTGAACAATTCATAAGGTAATAAAATTCCTTAAAATCATTTTTAGATTATTAGTTTGTTTTTAAAAAGGTATTTTTTGAATTAAATTGTAAATATTAGTTAAAAAATCCATCTGATTATATTTTCAATCACAAAACATTAATCAATGCAAATCTATTAATTTTGAGCAATATTCAAAAATAGTCAAAAGTCCAAATAAGTTTCTGTTACATATTTAATCTACTATTTTATACAAAGTTTAAAATTCCAACATCATGTCAACATTGGAGGATAAAATTTTGGGAGAAAAATTACACTACTACTGCAGCAGTTCTAGTGAAGATGATGGAAATGATTCTGGAGATTCCGATAAAGAATGTGATGATGTCAAATATACTGACAATACTGCACAATATATTGCACCTTCATATTCGGAATGGGATGGAACTTCCAGTAATACAGGACCTAAAGGTGTTATAAAGGTATAATTATACATACATACATACATACATATATATATAGAATTAAAAGAAGTAATTGAAAAGGGTTACGAGCCAAGTACAATAAATTCAATATTAATGATATATTTTGACATAAAAATTACAAGTGAAAAGCGCTATAAGAACAAATGTTTTGACTCCAATTGGATCATTATCAAAAATAATTATTCCAAATTAATATTAATCGTTGTTCCAAAAGAAATATGACTGTACTAAACGAATAATTTTCGCTCGATCAACTACATTTTGTATAACATAAGAGATTAACAATTATGTCTAATAATTTGACTAGTTTAACAACATGACAAACATTTATATATTTTTTAAACAGTTAACGAAAAACGAACTAATATAATTTGATTGTTCTTAACGTCTTTACTTTTATATTTTGTATTTGATAATGACTTGATCGGAGTCGAAACGTATGTAATTATTATAGCTATTATTTTGTTTATTATATTATATTCTTTATTATATATCATTAATACTGAATTTATTGTACTTAGCCCTTTTCAACATTATTTCTTTTAATTTTTATTACTTGAGCCATATTATGTATTTTATATAGATAGTGTTTATTATAATTAAATTTTGATTATAGAAAAATATAAAAATCTAGAAACATCAAATTGAACATATATATACATATATGTTCAATTATGTACAATATATGTACATATATGTTCAATTATGTTCAATATATGTACATATATGTACATATACATACATATTTATTTAAGTTTTATTGTCAATTAAATATTAAACAAATAATATTTGATGTTAATGCGAAATGTGTTCTTGGAAGGATTGGCAGCGATATAAACAGTTAGAAGCAGAAAAACGAGAATCACAAGAGAAAGAAAGACTACAGTTGATCAACAAATTGAGTTTAACATGCCGCAGTGCTTTAGATGAAGAAAAGGAAAAACTGAATGAGACAGATCCAGAGTTGGCAAATTTATTAAGTGATGAATTTCTTCTAGAATATCAGAAACAAAGAATGAAAGAAATGCTTGCAAAAACAGAAAAACTTTTTGGAAGAGTTATCGATTTGGAGAACACAGATCAATTTTTACAAGCCATTGATGGAGAAGACAAATCAATAATTGTTATCGTTCACATTTACGAGGATAATGTATCTGGCTGTGAAGCCATGAATGGATGTTTAATATCTCTTGCAGAAGAATATCCTTATGTCAAATTTTGTAAAATTCTAGGTTTGTTAATTTTGAAATTATATAAAAGTAAAGAAATGTGACTTCCACTGTCGGTTTTTTGTCACTAGATGGTGTTGATGGTCAACACTATCTAGTGACAAAAAATCGCGGATACTTTTTAGATGACCCAATATATATATATATATATGCGCGCGCGCGCACACACGCACGCACGCGCACACACACACACACACACACACACACACACACACAGAGAGAGGGGGGGGGGGGGGGGGGGTATGCAAGGCGCGTCCGTACGATTTTTTAGACACTTTCGACAGTTAAAAAAAAATTGAAGGATGAGTATTCATCTATTTTATACAAGCTACACATGCGATAAAAAAATTAAAAACAATTTTTTCATAAGGAAATCAAAGTCATCTTAAATTTTTTAAATAGCATCATACAATTTTTTTTCATAATATTATAGGAGTCTTCAAGACAAATTCAAATTAATAAAAAAAAATTTTTTTTAATTCAATATATGAGCAATAAGAATATTAATACAGCGCGGAAATTAGTGCGCAAATTTCAATATAATTAATGTATACAATAATGTCTACATAGAATATAAATGTACAATAATTGTCTGTACCATCTTATTTAAACGTTTTCTTTCAGTTTTCTTCAAACTATCATCAGCAAATCCATGAATACTTATTGTAGATTTCTTGACAAAATTCTTGTGACAATATTGAAATTCAAAATCTATGTAAAACTGAGGATGAGCATTTCCCTACTTTCTAGTTGGAAATAGCCGTAATTTGTCTCTTCGTTAAAAAGCTAATTGACTGACTAAAGAACAAATTATACAAAGAAATTAATTACATTGTTGTGTTTTCAATATATTGTACTACTCACCTTCATTCTCCATAGATCACAATTCCAAATTTAGGAAGTCAAGTTATGTAAAGCAATGGTAACGAGAAATATAAGACTTAATTTTACATTATACGATATAAAATTATAACATATGTTATCCCAATGGGAATCAGACAAGTAATAACCGTCAAAATTTTATTCTGTGAGCCACGTCCATAGAGAATAATACGTTATGATAAGTCAAACTAATCTAATGTCAATATTTAAAAACAAAAAAATTAACTAAAGGCGAATACATAAAGTCACTATTTGAATCTTTCCAAAATGCTCACATACGAATGGTGCAGAAATTCTGTATCTGATTAAAAATCAAAGTAAATTCAAATTATTTGATTAAATATTAAATATTATTTTAAATATTTAGCATTTCTGACATGAGTCTCTTACTTAATTTTCTTTCTATGTTCAAGATTTTTATATTTTCCCATTCAAAATCTGCTGATGATGGTTTGAAGAAAACTGAAACATTCAAATAAGATAGTACAGACAATTATTGTACATTTATATTTTATGTAGACATTATTAGTTATTTATATTGACATTTGTGCACCAATTTCCGCGCTGTTAATGCTCTTATTGTCCATACATTTTATTATATTTTTTAATTTTGAGAGCCCGATTAAACATTTAAAATTTTGTATTTTTTTCATTCTTTTATCGCATTTTATTGCAGCCTATACAAAACAGATGAATATTCATCTGTTAAATTTGTTTTTTAACTATCAGAAATATCTTAAAAATCATGCATTACGCTAAACACTATATACATGTACATAATTATATAGTGTGTATATATACAGGGTGTTCCGTAAATTTTGGCCAATCGCTTTTGTGTAGATAGAGCGGACTAAACTAAGTCGAAAAGTCCTCTACCATTTTGCAATGTTCGCAACAATTAATAAGATATTAATTAAGATACTAAAAATTGCCAGATATTGATCTTGAATAATTTTTTATTAAAATACTATCAACTTTACAGAAAAACTGCAAGAGACAAAAATCATTTATTTTCTTCTCATAGAACTCTAAAAATTTTTTCAGAATTTTTGATCAACTTTTTAGTACTGCATTTCTTATTTTTATCAACATGAGAAAATACGGTATTAAAAAATTCTTAAAACTTTATGTAAATAAAGCAAATTTTGATTATGGTCCAAAGTAAAAATTGTCGATCCAATGAAATGAGCAGAAAAAATCAAAATTACACGTAACAAATATTGAAATGGCGATTTTTTTTTAATTTGGACCGTAATCAAAATTTACGCAGAATAAGTTTATAGCGCATTCAATTTCGAGCAAATTAAAAAAAAACATTAAAATTGGTTAAAAATTAATGCGTCGAATTTTTTCGTTTACTGTGCAGGGTTTTAAGAATTTTTCTTTTAAATAATCTTTTGGCAGCTGTCAAATTATTATTGATCGATATTCCATTTAAAAAAGTGCAGGTGACCTTCATATCTTTTTGACGTCTCTACCAGAAAAAAAAACATGACCAAAATATGTCTCCCTCAAAACCGTTACACTTTCATTTGAAATTTTTTTATATCATCAAAAATAAGCGAGATATTTCAGATGGTTCAGATGGATTAAGACGAAGCGCTCTTTCTCCCTCCTTGCGCACCGCCGTCGCCACCACTCGATTGTGGGCCGTCCTACGAATTCGCGCGGCGCGGCTTAACCGCATATTGGCTTAGACGTTTCCTTTTTTAATTCGAAAACTACAGCGAGTATCTCAAAATAAGAATTTTTTGTTCCTTTTAATCCATTCTCCACCCCCAATGTGGCCCCGACCCATCTTAAGAGACACCCTGTATATATATTAATATATATATAAATTAAAATATTTTAAATTATATTTAAGTTTCACACTTTGTAAGTAAACAGTAAGATCTTTTATTCTTATTTATCTTTAAACAGAACTAATTTTAGCATAAAATGTTTACATTTTTTTATATCAATATTCTTCAGAATTTCAGAAAAAAATTTCATATAATTTAAATATTGAATTGATCAGAAAGTTCGTATTTTTTTTTAGTTCAAAATTATAGAATATATTTGTTGTTATACCATTCAATAGAGCAAAATTTTAGCTTAGAAAAATTTTTTTTTAAATTGTGGTACGATGATTTTTAACGAAGTTATGAGCAATTAAAGTCAAAATGTTCCTTTTATTTAATTCATGATAACTTAGTAACAAAAAATCTTAGGAATATTTAAAAAAAACGATTTTGTAAGGAAAACTTTAAGCTTTCACTTGAAAAGCCGAAAATTTTCGCTAATTTTTTTGGGCAAATGATAGATCCAAAGTTAGAAGAAAATTTTCCATCTTTTACAGTTTGTAGTTTTCTATATGTAAAAATTACTAAATTCACAGAAACTCAAAAAAAACACAGTAATCTTTCGAAAGTAGATTTCAAGCTTTAAAATTGTTTTTTTTTTTAATTTAAATTTCGTTTTTTTTTTTTAATTTAAATTTCGTTTTTTTTACAAACATATATATTGTAAGATACAATTTTGTACTAAAAAAAAATGGCACGAACTTTCTGACCCTATATATTATATTTTTTTCATATATTTTTTGTAATTTTTTTTAGGTTCAATTGCAGGTCTCAGCAAACAATTCAAAAAATTTGGTGTACCAACATTGCTGGTGTACAAAAATGGACAAGTAATAGGAAACTTCATTCATGTTACGGATCATCTGGGAGTAGATTTTTATTCATCAGACGTGGAAGCATTCCTTATCGAACATGGAATTCTCGCTGATAAAAATTGCATACCTCTTATTGTTTTGAAGAATGAAAATAAGGTTTCCGATAGCGAATAAAAAGTTATTCTGTTTAAGATAATTCATTAATATATTTTAATAAATCAAAATAACTTACTTAATAACACTTACACCATACAATATTTATCAAGAGTTTATTCAATACAATAAGATGTAAATGCAAAATATATTTATTTTTGAGCCATATATATATATATATATATATATATATATTGCTTTAATTATTAAATCTTCCATTTATTTATAAAACTATTTCAACATATCCAAGATATGTTTTTTCTTCTTTATTGCATTGCAGAGCTGTGAATAGATCAATAACACCTGATCATATTCTGTATCCTTCATATTGTCGTACAGCTTCTTTAAATCTTCCTTCTGGCGAATTTCATCTGTAACCATTTTTAATTTCTTTTCAACTAATTGATGTAATATTTTAAAAGCATCAACGGTAGTTGAAGTTTCTTTGAACATTCTGATTGTGCAAGAAAGTTTTGTTATCTTTGCTTGTAACTCTGCAACTTGTGCCTGCAGCAATAAATAACCTGTCTTTTCTAAATATGCTTGGTTCATATCTTCATATTTCAGCTTGTTCCACTTGTCCATTAAGTATATATATTTCAGCAAGTCATTTTCACATTGCAGAATCAAATCCTCAATTTTATTTTTCCATTGTACTGCTGGCACATCGGAATATTCGAAGAATTTGTTATGTGTCTTACAGTCATTCTTTGACGTTTCCTTAATATTTCCTCCTAAGGCTTCATATCTTACAACACATAGATATTAAGATATTTTATTAATCATCATATAAGTTAATATTGTTACAGAACTTAGTATATACTTATTAAAATTTTTTTATATATAAAAAAATCACAAAACACTTACTTCAGTATCGTATCATGTATTATTTCTCGTAACATTGTCTCGATGCAGCATTTCACTTCTAATTTTTCATCGGAATTTAAGTGACATGATGGTAAATCACAAATTCCCAAAAGTATCAATTTATCTTGCATATATTTGGTTGTCGAAGGAAGATGCATATACTTATCCAACTCATGAATTGAAAGCAACATTTGTAATTTGCTAGCTGTGCTTTTAGAAAAAATATCTTTGGGATTCAAAGATGCTTTCTTTATACACTGATAGATAATGTTAATTTTGACATGTTCACTTATACTTTCTTCGCATAATACTAACAACTTTATTGTTTTTTCGATCGCAGTTATTTCCTGGGTTATTACAAACTTATTGTTACTTCTTATAGTACTGGAATAATTGTCTAACAAACTTTGCAATGAATTTACTCTATCAATTAATCTGCCACTGGATTGGGAGATTGCAGAAATACTGGAAATATCTGAAAAAACAAAGGAAAATCATGAAAAATATGATATTTATAAATAGTTCTTTATGTCCGCAATGTATATTTTTAATAATTGTAAAATTTATTAATTAAATAATTTAGTAATGTTCACAATACCTCAAATTTTAATATAACGATAAAAAGAGGCACATAAGAGTCAATTCTTTAAAATGTAAAGTATAAAAAATTCTTAATAGGAACTAAATACATACATAATAGAAACAGAGATATCATTACATTTCGGCTCCTAGATTGAGCCATCTTCAGATATTATCATATTCATACTTTGAATTAGTTATCATTGTCAGAAACATAAAAACCATGATGGAATATGTTCCAGTTTGTAGCGATCCTGATGAATACTTTAGATAACGTCAATTACTTACAAACAATTTGACCGATTGTTAGGAATTTCATGATTTAATTAAAAAAAAAACAAATTCGTTCACCAATAAATAACTGAATAAAATAAAATATACTTTGAAAAAAGTTATCTTTTTTAAATTCTGTAAAAAGCAAGCAATAACATCATCTTGATAAAATACTCATCAACGTGATCGCAGTTAAGCCTGTTTTACAATGTGCTTTTTGTTTCCAGTTTCTTGCTTTTTGCTATTTTTTTACATCTTGTCTTTTTGCTTATTCGATTTTTGTTTTATATCGTCTGAGATAAGAGTTATGGCTATTCTACAATGTGCTTTTTATTTTCTATTTCTTGTTTGTCTTATTGGCAAGAGACAAACAGCAAGAAACAAAGAGCACATTGTAGAATTAGCCTTAACGAACTTCGAAAGAAACAAGAAATACATAGCAAAAAAAACAATTCAAACATCGATAAAACGGTTGCAAAAAAATTAAAAGCAAAAGATAAAAAACAAGAAACAGGAAACAAAGAGTACATTGTAGAATAGGTTTCGTTTCATGTTTTTGTGTCAAAATCGTGAATTTGTTTTAGAGCAGAGAATTTGTTTTAAAGTAGCGAATTTAAGACCGCAACGCGTGCTTGCATCGCAGTATTTCGTGACTGATTGATTTCCTAATCTCAGTAGCCAACTTTAACTTAATATCTCGGTTCGTGAGGTAGAGCGACGCTTTTTTTCTTGTAGAATCTTTATTTTTACGCATTGATTGAGTCTATTTTTATCAAAATTTGAAGTGACCGGTGTATTGTGAACCTTTATCAATAATTTGTTTAATCACATCTACTTCAACTTCCTAAAAGTAAAAATATCACTTACCCGATAATTGATGCAATTCGCTAAAATAACTCATATTTGATATTCTTATTAATCATTTAAACTGCAGGAGAACAAATACACATTAATGATAATTAATACTTCAGTAATTATTTAGAATACAGTCCTCCTCTCTGATTTTGATAAAATTAGGCTCATTCGACGCGTTTTTGCACAAAACGAAAGAATCTGTAAGAAAAAAACGTTAGAACGGTTCTCCGCGAACCGAGATATTAAGCGTTAAAATTGACGACTACTTGTCGTTGAACAAATTGTTTGTCAAGCAGAGAATATGTTCGTACGTACATGTCGCTGCATCTCGTTGATGACAGATTTCCTAACCTTTATAGTTATCAACTTTAACGCTTAATATCTCAATTCGCGGAGTCGTCCTAACATTTTTTCTTACAGATTCTTTCATTTTGTGCAAAAACGCGTCGAATGAGTCTAATTTTATTAAAATCGGAGGAAAGAATCATATTCTAAATAATTACCAATACTTCTTTCTCCTTTTTATTATAGATATTTATTATAAATATTCGCTACTTTTAAGGAATAATATTTTAATGTTCCAATAATTTGGATTAAATCAGATTAAACCGTTTTGCTTATTGAAAGTAGCTCCGTTCAGCACACTGCAGAACAAAACAGTTTTGAAACCGTTTTGATTGAGTGCATTCAAAACAATTGCTCACTGAGCTCTTAGAGCTCTTTCGTTTGATTGGCATATTCCGTTAGATCCTAAAATATAGACCAATCGGATGAAAGAGCGCGAAGAAAACTTCCAACAGTTGCAAAATAAACGTTCTGCTGAACAGAGCCAATCTCAATGCCCTTATCCTGTTGAACATCGATTGCTGTTTGATTTCTAAATCCTAACCTTTCCAAGTTGTTGATTAGACACTTCATTCGAGGGGATCATAAATTGGTTGGATCAGGATTTAATTTATAAAATCTATTATATATATATATATATCGAACTGATATGACGACTTAATAAATAAAAAGAAATGTTTATTATAATATATTGTAATTTAATTGTGGCATGAATTCATCAGCTGTCTTAGTGTCTTTATGCGTTATTCGCATCGAGATTTGTGATTCGGAGTTAGAAGAGACCACCAGTAAGCATAAACATTTCTTGAATGTAATATTTATTACAATTATCAATATAAATAATTTTTAATGTTTCTGTATATTGATATGATTGCTTTATATAGTTAGAATATTTTTGTAAAAGGCAACCCTAATTTCTTTTGTGATCTTTTAACAAATCGATAACGATAAAGTAATTGATAATGATATGATAATTATAAGTAATAAATATAATATCATAGGTACAATGGCTGCAAAGAAAACGAGAGGTTGCAGAGAATCAAGGGATATCAATATTGAGACTTATACAAATAAGACAGAGACTACATCCCCATTATTATCAAACCAAAGCACAAGTAAATCTCATTCGTTCTCGAGAACTAATTCCGAAGAGACATCATTTGTAAATTCTAATCATATCGCGAGTTCTACTCCGGCAGAGATAACTGGTGCTGCTGCTTGCACCTCACCTGATCAAATAAGCTTTATCTCCGGAAATCCCTTTGTTGAAGTTACAAAAGGCATCCTTCATCTCTTTAAGGAGGAGTAAGTCACTTCCATCTTGCTTTGAGTCATTCCAAATTATATGATTTGTATGGATATATTGCATCTTTAAATTACACTACTGTTCAAAAGTTTCAGCACACTCTCTATTTATGGAGAAGTTTTGTAATATAAAAAACAAAATATGTATACAGTATATATATTACATTTGTATTGCGTTTTTTAATTTGTTGTATTATATATTCACTAAAACTGGCAAATAGTATATATTCTTTTTTAGATTTATTACTTCTCCAAATCTAATCTTCTTAGGTTTTAATAACAAAGTCAAATTCTTAATATTCTATCAATAAGTTTTTTAAATATCTTAATCAAAAACTTGTGTGTAACTTGATGCTTAATATCTGTGAGAATATTATTTATATACCACTTTCTTAAATATTTATCCATGTCCAGTACAAAATTTGAAATTGATATCTTTTTCCAACTTATATACACCTCTATCATATTTGTTCATTTGAAAAATTATTAATTGTAATTTCCATTTATTTTTTAGCATGCTTGAAAATAAGAGAGTATATCATATTATTCTATATTTATTCCATAATAATTCCATATTTTATATGTAAAAATAAAATTATCATTGAAAATATAAAATGCGCTGAACTTTTGAACGGTAGCATATAAGTATTGGAAAAGAAAATTGTTCAATTATTAAATAAAATCATATTCTTCAGCTAATGTCATCCATGGTATTTATCTAAGAATTCTCAATTGAAACTTCATTAAATATATGCTGTTAAATATTGGAAAACTGCAATAATTGTTAATATAATGCATAACTTCTCTCAACAACAACTTCTCTTTCCATTAAGAAAAAGTGAATTCTGATCAAGTGGGAGTTTTGTATACAATTAGCAACTTGAAAATATAATATCAATTACTCACGATTTTACCTTCTGATTACAGTGAATTGACTGAAATGCATTGCGCCGCGGATCGCAGTCATACTATCTGTATTCTGTCGGTACCAGCAACAATGACTTGTCACGATCTTTTAACTTTCACAGCAGCTTGTCATCAAGATATACAATACTTTAGAATCCTCAGAGACGGCAGTCCAAATCAATATATGGCTCTGATCACCTTTAGATCATCGGTGAGCGAACAGATGTTTGGAGTAATACAACATACTTTCAGTTTTGATAAATTAAAACAATTAGTTTATATATAAAATTTACATAATGTTCATAATTTACATAATATTCATTAAATTTCCAGTAAAGTAATGTCATTAAATTTCTAATAAAGTAATGTTCAGCACAAAAAATTAATTAAAAATATAAGGGTCAAATCCTGGCTGAGATAATATTTTTCGCAATAAGTTCTTTACCGAATTAATTTAGAGGGGATTATTTCACATATAGGAATATCCGAATGTTTCGGCGCCTTATCATATTTATATTATTAGCATCTCAAAGCGATTGTGCTTAATGTCTGAATGTTTCGGCGCACAGTCACATCTGAGATAATTAAAAGTAAGAGGTAAAAAGAGTTACGAGCCAATGCTAGTTCTTAATTGTTAATATTTAATGTCTTGTAAAATATAAAATTTAAACAAATGTTTCGTCCTTACATTAGGACCTTTTCAATATAAGCAAATCTTACATTACATGCTACGTCTATACATCTCTATCTTACATCATTAGTCAAATCTTACAACATTCTAATTAATTTTCGATCTTTCTAATTGTGCAATTGACAATAATTTCCATATTTCTTTATCATGAATTGATTGCCCAGCAATTTATTATTTGGTATCTTATAATCTAGTTCACGTTTTTATCTATATTTAGTAAATCGACCTAAATTTTTTTATTATAAAACCATTATAATATTCTTAATATAATATATTTATATATTATATAAATTACATTTATATATAAATATAATATAATATTATATTTATAACATTTAACTTTGAATAATAAATACAATATAGGGCAAGTAAGAGTCTAACATATAAATTTATATTCAATCAAGAAATTATAAATTTGAAATTATTATGTAATAATCGATTATAATATATATCTTTCGGCCTTAAGATTAGGCCCTCTTCAGATATATTAGGTGTTGGAATTAATTCGTAGCGTTTTACAAGTGATGGGAAGTACTTTCATTAATGTATTTTTTAATGCTCATGTGAAATAAATAACATTCTTTCATTAAAAAACGCTACGAATTAATTCCAACACCTAATACTAAACGCAATGATGTTACTACATTAAACCAATATTGATAGTCATGGAATTCGATGTATACGTATGTCGAGAGGATGAAAGTTGAACTGAGGAAACGAAATTGCTCGCCAAAAGATTGGAAAGGTTGGAGAAGACGCAAATATATTACTGAATCTCAATACAGATATTTATCTTATAGTGATGGGTTACTCTCGAGGGCTTATGCTCTGCCAAAAATTCATAAACCAAACTGTCACTTTAGTATTATTGCGTCATCTATAAGCAGTCCGTTATATACCTTAGTCTCCTTTCTACATAACATAATTATTGAGTCAATTCTAAAAGCGGAGAGCTATATAAAAAACAGTTTCCAACTTGTTGATAAACTAAGAGGAATGAATATAGATGATAATTATGAACTAATTTCAGACGTGACATCACTTTTTACGAATACTTTTTTCGGATTGACATAGCCTGGAGTGTGTTAATGACAACTGGAATTTTATCAGAAAAATGTAATTTACCAAAAACGGAGTTCTTAATTTTAAATTCCACGTATTTTGTATTTGATAATATTATTTATAAATAGAATATTGACGATCATGGGCTCTCCTTTGTCACCTATCATTGCTGACTTGATAATGCAAAGATTAGAAAGAATAGCATTGAGTTTATTTAATGATCATGTTCTTTTTTATATCCGATATGTCGATGACTTATGTGCTGCACTATGTATCTGAGGTTCTCACTTTTTTGGAATGCTTTAATTTGTTTCACTCACGTCTCTAATTCACTTTGGAGATTGAAGGAAATTCATTAAATTTTCTAGACATCCAAATCATGATTAAAAACAATCTCGTAACTTTGGATTGGCATTATAAACTTAGTTTTTCGGATAAATTTTTGAATTTTTTCTCCAATCATCCATTTTCTCAGAAAAGAGGTGTAATCTTCAGTTTGGTGGATAGAGCTATTTTACTGTCAGATTCAGAATTCCGCGAGAAAAATGTAATACTAATAATTGACATTTTATTGAATAATGACTGTCCACTAAAACTCATTTTTGATACAATTAATAAGAGACTAAAAAGCATCAAAGTTAGAGGTGCAGCGTTTGTTGATCGAGTTAATGATAACGAGGATTCATCGGTTGTTTCGATCATAGATTTTATTCCTTGACTGAAAAATTTAATAAGTTTAATAGGAACGATATCAAGATATCTTTTTTCAGTTCGAATTAACTACAAAAATATAAAATATCAAAGTACATAAGGATTCCTCACTTCTCGAAAAATAATGTAATTTATAAGACTAAGCAATAATTGTGAAGCATATGTAGGACAGACGGGGAGACAGCTAAAAACTTGAATTTCGGAACATCAAAATCATATATGCTAATACGTCTTCCCGTTCCGTTATATATTTATAACTGATTATAGAGTGAAACTAGAACATGTTTTGGAGTAAATCCTTGATCAAGAACTATGTTATAATAAACTGTTAGTTTCAGAGATGCTACATATTAAACGATAAAAAAAGTCTTAATCTTCAAATACTGATACTGAGAGCTACATAAAGCGTACATTCTGATTGTAAACAAGATCTGACTTTGCATTACTAAGATCACATTCGATTGATTATTTTTCGTTTAATCAGTGTGGGACCACGTGACAGTCACAAATCTCAAATTTTGTTCCGTGACTGATACAATTATTTATAATCACTGACTAATATATTCTGACGAGCATCGTACTAACGAAGTATAATTCTTTTGAATAATTGGTGAGTGTTCTATCGAAGTGACGTATTTGCTTGCTTCATAATTAAATATAATTAATTTAATTTATTTGTATTAGAGTATAATGAAATTCTTTTCAATCGATCTTCCAATCTTTTGGCGAGCATTTTCGTTTCCTCAGTTCAACTTTCATCCAGTCTCTCGACATACGTACATCGAATTCCATGACTACCAATACTGGTTTAATGTAGTAACATCATTGCGTTTAGTATCTGAAGAGGATCTAATCTTAAGGCAAAAACATGTTATAATCGATTATTATATAATAAGTTCAAATTTGTAACTTCTTGGTTGAATATAAATTTATATATTAGATTCTTAAACTTATCCTATATTGTATTTATTATTTATTGGTATAAAGAGTCCTTTATTATCATTAATCTAACTTTGACCGATTATTGGCGTTCTCTATCATATTTATGTAAATTAAAAATATGTTATTCAAAATAAGATAAACTTTTATTTTATGCATTTCAGAGCGCAGCAAGCGAGTTCTACGAAACTTTCAATGGTGCTCCCTACAACTCTCTAGAACCAGATGTGGTTTGTCACATGGTATTTGTATCCCGAGTCGAAATAGGGAACAATGGAATGCCCTTAAGTGGACACACAGAGTTGCCATCATGTCCCGTTTGTCTTGAAAGAATGGATGAGAGTGTGGATGGAATCCTGACGATATTGTGCAATCATACTTTCCACTCCAGCTGCCTCGTTAAATGGGGTGACACATCCTGTCCAATTTGTCGATACGCTCAAACACCAGAGCCACTAGCAGATAGTCGTTGCATGGAATGTGGTAAATGTTTATCTAATTGCTTTGAATTGTTTAAACTTGAATTTAATTTAATAAGATATACAATTTTTTAAAAGAAATTTTAAGAAATTATTTCAAATTATTTGATTAAATTTCACATTGTATAATAATATTTGGCACATTTTGCATTCTTTTAGAAAAAGATATGGTTTCGTTGGAAATGATTGTGTGGAATCTTCTATCATGTTAGAGGCCTCTTTTAATATGCTTTGCACGAATATCTTTAGTTGCAGATGCCAGCAATGATGCTTTATGGATTTGCTTGATCTGTGGTCACATAGGCTGTTCGCGTTATCATCAAGGTCATGCGTTTGAACACTACCGAGATACACACCATTGCTACGCGATGCAGTTAGGCAACAATCGCGTCTGGGATTACGTAGGCGACAATTTTGTGCATCGATTATTACAGGACAAAGATGGTAAAATGGTAGAAGGTGGCTGCTCAACAACCAAGAGTGAGGGTGCCGCTGTGGAGGATAAGGTAGATTCAGTACAGTTAGAATTCACGTATTTGCTAACGTCACAGTTGGAAACGCAACGACAATACTATGAAGAGAGGCTCAATCGTTCAGAACAACGCTCCATAGCAGAGCTTACCGAGCTGAGAGATAAATTAGAACAAGTGCTTGAGGAAAATTCACAACTCAAGGTACATAATTCTTAAAAACAATAGTAAAATGTATGTATATTACCTTGTCTTCTTCTTTTCGCCTCTCCTTCTTTTTCTTTTATTCTATCCTTATTCCTCTTTCTTTCCTTTTCTTTTTTTGCTTTCTTATTTTTTCCTTCTCTATTTTTCTTTACTCCTTTTAATTATACTATGAAGAAAATGTTTCTTTATTTTAACAGAAACAATTCACAACGTTTAATCGCGACAAGCAGACGTTGGACAAGCGTCTACAACATTCTACCAATAAATTGGCACAAATTCAAGCGGAATTAACAGAAGAAAAAGATCTGCGAAAGGCTCTAGAATTGAATCAGACTTCGTGGCAGACAAAATACAAGGCATTACAAGATGAACTGTCCGCCAAAGAAGCAGAGATCACTGATTTAAAAGAGCAGAATCGAGATCTCATGTTTTTTCTTGAGGCTCAAAAACAAATTGATGAATCCGTCGATCGAGATGAGATCGCTACTGGTCGTATTGTTATTCCTCCAAGCCCTAAAAACGAGAAATCATTCGGATCTCGCGGACGTAAAAAAAAGCATTAACTAGATCAAAAATTGGAGGACTAAATCCAAGAATCGTGAGACTTAGAGACGATTTCTCTGAAAAGTGAGGCCGGATCTCTTTAGATCCGTCGCGCCAGAAGAAAGAAAAAAACTTCATTAAAGCTCATTAAAAATTCTTTTGATCTATTTAAACCTAAATCTTTTCCAATTATCATTTGAGAATTTTCTTCATCAATATGCAAAACAAAATGCAAAATGCAATATTCTGAATTAGAAGAACGATTATAGCAAGGAAAAAACGCCATACATAAAAAAAGTGTACTGAAGTTAATTTTTAAAATGTGCGAAGAAGAACGTTACGATTTTACTAAATTATTATTTACTTTTTATTTAATTTACAGATATACTAATATAAGTTTAAGGCTATTGATTTTTTACTACATTAGTGCATCTTTATTGGATTGCAATTATCAGAAGCGAGAAATTATATAAATTTTCTTTATGTATTATATTTCTTTATGTATTATATTTCAAAATAAATTAATTGTTTCATATATCTCATATAGTCTCATCCCGCTTAAATCCCGGATTATCACGAAATTGATGAGAACTAGATTGTTCTGGTGGAAAAGTATCGTTCGAAGATCTTAAATTATCAGCATTATCATAAATTTCATACGATTGTCGAGTCTGTGTCCTTCTTTTTTCTGCTAAAATTGTTGATCGCCTCCGTTCAAAGGTATTAAACGCACTTTTCGGCATTTGTGAGGACATGCGTTGTGATAAACCTGTAAAAATAGACGAAAGATACTCGAAAAATGTAATAAATAAAATATAAAAATATAATATCAAATATGATAATTGATCCCTCGCACTGATCTAGGAGTGTATGTATAATTGCTGTTTTTGTATAAAATTTTAAATGACTTAAAATATAAAATGCACGCTATACTATACATTATACATGCACTATCCAAATGTATTATCTTTGTGTTTAAGATGTAATATATGAACGTAAAATTATAAGCAGAGTTAATACATGTTAAAATGATTTTAAAAAATTGAAAACTAAATTAAATACTTATTGTTAGTAATAAAACCAACGTCAATTATTAACTGTAATAATAAATAAATTTTATAATGTTTTTATCTTTATCTTTATCCTTATCGGGGATTAAATTTATAATATATAAAAAGTAAACATATTTTGCTACAATATTCAAGTTATATTTCAAAATTCACTGTCAATGAAAATCTATAGTGTACGTAACTTAAATTAGAATTTTAGTTGTGAATTTTGGAACACAACCCCAATATATTTAATTTTTCAATCTTCCTATTTTATTTTTTCTAACTTTTATTATCTTTTGTTTATTAATTATCTTCAGTTATTACTTCACGTTTATTTTAACTTTAAAAAAACAATTACGTTTCTGCTACACTATCTTTTTCGAAAACGTGAACATAAGCAGGAAATAAGAATTTAATTTACTATTATACAACATTGCTTTATAAAAGCTCTTTGAAGCATAAAATCGAAACAATATTGCTATGTCTGTTGCTTATCCGCGATATTTAATATATAGTCGAATTTTCGTATTTAACTCTACATATTTCCTTTTATTTTTGTTTCTTCTCTTGCGATACTGGCCCAATTTCATTTCATGTTTAATATTTAAACAAGTAAACAATAATACACAAAGCACAATTTCAAACAACAATTAAGAGCAATTATACCTGAACTTGGATCACGAAGCTTTCGTCGAAACAACTTTTCAAAGTTTCCCAATATCTTCAATGATCTCTTCGAATTTCTCGGTAATTCATGTATATTTCGCTTGCTAAGAGAAGTTACGGTACTTCGTCTAAGTTCAAATATCACGTCGTCCTCCGCCATACGTTGAAGTATCTGTGCTATCTTATCAGCATGTTTTTCGAAAACGCTGTCTTCCGAAGAAGTTATCTGATAATAAGAAGAAGAAACGATAGAGACACTATAGGCATTTTCCAGCAAAGATACTATATAATACAGTGAATCATTTCATCTTTGTTTAACATAGGCAAATAACAAAGATGTGATATTACACTGTCTGACTATATCTGAATTGCTGAAAACCCTATAATCATAGAAAGAAAATTCAATTTTTAATTTCTTTATCTCATCCTTTCAAAATAAACTTGTATTTGTATTTCTAAAAGTTTTCAATAAACTTACTTAAAGAAAATCATAGAGTTAATCTAATTTATTTTTTACTATATGTATTTATGATGGATGATGTGATTATAGAAGAAAGGCTTCTATTATGAGATACCAAGTTCATTTTAAATGCTAGAAGTTTATGGACAGAATTTTTAAAAATAATAAGTCATTTTGAAGAGAATTTAATAAGCTTTAAGACAATGTTAAAATTTAATTTAAATTCCATTTTTTTTTTAAATTAAAGAAATGTAAAAAGTGAGCAAATCGCAAAGAAAAAAATTGTGCTCTTAATATAAGATTCCCCGAAAAATCAATAGTAAAACGCAAAAAAAAATTTTAGTATTGTAACTAAAAAACTTTATTTAATGTTTCTTAAATACAAATACAGTCAGGGTGCGCGAAAAATGAGTATGCAATACTATATATACCCAGAACTCGTCTTCGGGTAGTTGGAATCAAATATCGCAGAAATAGGCACTCGACGTTCACTCCGATTGTCCTTTTTATTATTGTATTGGGTCATCTAAAAACCGCGGATACTTTTTAGATGACCCAATACAATAACATTTATACTTTAGCAACGATTTTCACTATGATATGGGAGCATAGGTTATTTCACATTAGAAATATCCTGGATATCTCATATTACGATTTCCACGCCCTACGATTTTACGATCATCAAATCTAATTTCTGTAATTAAGCAATTCAACATATTCCGTATTTTTCTATTAGTATGACTTTACTCTACATGAAGAATTTATTGCCAAATATTTATTTATTAAATAATAAATAATGTTTAAAGGCTCATCTCAATGAAACTTGAAGACATCCAAATTCTAAAATCTTTTTTTTTACAATGACTACAGGCATGACCTAATAATGAATTTTCTACTAAATAGGTTTCAATCCAAGAACAATAAATTCATGGTGGAACCAATAGATAGCATCTATTAGTTTAGCAGAAACGCCGTTATCTTATATTATGCCTATCTCATAATAAGAGACTTTCCTCTATAATTTATCTTTTACTATATGTATTTACGAAGGAAATAAGAAAGGCGTTTTATATTGGTGGATGTTCTTTTCTTTTTTAATATTACCTTAGTACAAGAAGGAAGTTTCGTATTAGCAAGTACATGAGAAAACGTATCGAATCGATGAAATAACATAGCGCAGAACTGGATACCTAATATACTGACAAATGCGACGATAAATAAGCATCCTATCGGTTCAAGTCTTAAATATTCTTTTGTTAAATGTACCTATACAAAATTGACACATGTAATTTTAATTATTTATATGAGCTTATAGTTTTAATGGTTATATTAGGTGTAGTAAAAAGAAATCCATTATTTTTCCAATAGATGGCTTTAGTAATCTGTATCTCGTCTACGCGTGTTTTCTTTTTACTATTTAATAAAATAATTAATTATTTTATTAAATAGTAGCGTAATTTCTTTTTACTACACCTAATATAATAATTTAATTACCAAATTATTAAATTTAAGCAATACTTAGAAATAACTTTAGAAATAAACAAGTTGAATTATTTCTATTTATTGAATTATAACATTATTGTAAAATGTAATAATTGTATAATAATATGTAAAATTATTGTTAACGAAACATTTAAAAGATTATTATTATTATACATTTACCTCATTTTTTTCTGAGTAGTATGTAATATTGTACTTCATTCCAAGTGGCCATTGCAAATGCAGTCTATCTTTGTTTAACTGCATAAGGAACACAATTAGTACAAATAAAGCATTTAGCATGAAGAATTTTGATAAATATGCATCACGACAGTTGATCAGTTCTTGAGTTATTTTGTTCTAAAAAGAATATATAAAAATAAGGAAAAAAGAGAGGAAGAAAAATAGAATAAAAAAAAATATTAAAATATCTTGATAACAGTAAAATTATCTCACTGTTATTTTAGAATATATGTATATGGAACTTGGATAGCTATTCTTCAATGTTCAACATCATGTAATCACAAATAAATAAATAAATAAATATATATATATATATATCATATTCTTTTGTCACATATTATATTCTTATTGTTCTATGTTTGTTATTATTTCATTCAATAAACTTGTGAAGCAAAGATGGATATTTATCCTTTTCATACATTTTGAATAATATTTTATAACGTATATATGTATTGCTCAGATTGATTAATCATGTTTGCGCGGCGCATGTTGTGTGTGTGTGTGTGTTAAAAATATGGTTATGTGCATATCAAAAGTACATAACAATAAATTACTTTTACTTTGCCTATTTTCATTTCTTTTTTGCAGAATAAGGATAAATCCAACTCACTTGACTCTCTTCATCGCTTTCAATAGGTTGCAAATATTTTCCAATCAGATCTTTCCAAAATTCTTCTTCATCGTTTGACAGAAAATCCACCACACCTCTTCGCAGTCTTTCATCTTGAAGCCAGTAAGGGCTAATGAGAAAACTAGATCGATCCTGACTTGAGGTTGCTGATTCCTGTGTTAAAATGTCACTTTCATCATCGTCATCCTTGTAGAGGACATTTTCTTGATCACTTTTATCAGTCATGTGTTGTAACTCGATTCCTTCATGTATTTCTTCTTTTCTTGTCTCTTCCATTGGAAAATATCTTGGAAATGCATTAATATTAGAAGATTGGGTAACGTCATTAGTTTCTATGTTTACTGCATGTAATCTATAATCATCAATAATTATTATTATATATCTGTATTGCAGAATACAAATTTTAGAAATAAAAAAGACAAATAATTATATGCATATCTTGAATCTGTCATGGTAAAATAAAAATAATTGTTACAATGAAAAAAAATTAATAAAAGTTGAATGTAATAATGATTCTCGATGACTGAATTTCATAATAATAATTGTAAATAATATCCATCAAACCTGTCCAATAAGTTCAGACGTTTGTTAATCTGTTGTATAGACTCGTTAATTTCATTTAATCGGTTTTCTTCATAACTAATTCCTGAATGAACGCAGCAGACGCATTTGAAAAGGTTCCCCAAGGAAAATTCTAATGTACCTTTTTCATTTTTGTTTTGCTTATTCCTTTGTTGTATCATGAATCCGGATATAGTACCGATTGCTGTAGATCTCTGTTCATCTTGAGGAGCCTATTGTCATAATTATAATGTAATCATTTTTCAAAGTTTCTTTGTGTGTGTGCATGTGTGCGCGCATGCGTGCAGAGAAAGGCAAAAATATGATAATGAAATAATCTGTTAGTTTTCCATTAATGTATAGTTTTTGCTATGATTTAAATCAAAATTAAAAGACAGCAAACTTACGACATTCAGTTTTTTCGAATCACGCGTGCCCCAAGTAACATTATGTACGTTGAAAACGGAAAAGATGGTTAACAACATATACATGGATGGTACAGTAATGTAATAAATAACACCACACAATAAGCAAGTTGCTTCTTGAGGGTGTAATAGACCAGCTATTGTCATTTGACACGCGACAATGAAGAAGAGAAGACTGCTGGGTGCGAGCCATCCATCTTCGGCGATTTGTAACATAATTCCTACCAGAACGACTATCATCACTAATCCATATATAGCACTGATAATCTCGGCTACAAATAACTGCAAATCCATGACAGTAATGTACTATGGATAGATGTATGTGTGCGGTAATGTTGTTTAATTCAATAATATTAGTTTACAAAAAAATATTCTTTTTTTCAATTACTTTGGACTGGACTATGTGTCTCTTATAGATTTTTGAATGTCACAAACAAAAAAATTTTAGCACATCAGATTTCTAAAATAATTGACGTTTAATATATAAAAAATGATTTTTTGGCGATATTTGACATTTTTTTATAAAGAAAGTGAACGTTAATCATAAATATATTCTTCCCCATATGTTCATCCCCTCTAAAATTTTTTTTTATTTCAATACCTTATTTTTTGGCTATGTTATAAAGGATTAAAGATAAGAGCTATTTCGAATCTGAAGACTCCAGCAGCGTATTTGTATGTAGATTAATTTTTTAAAATTACATTTTAATAATTGTACCTTAACACTTTTATGCACAGAATTATGAGACTAATCCATTGGTGGTTAATGAAAAAAACATAGTTGCTTTAAAAAAAAATGCAATTTATAATATGCAACTATATATCTTTTTTTATAAAACAACTCTCTCTCTCTCTCTCCTCCCTACCTCCCTCCCTCCCTCCCTCTCTCTTTCTCCAAAATATCCTCGAAATTTCTATTACTTTTTTAAAGATATTATTCAAATTCTATACCTGTATACGTTCCCTGCAAATAAAACAAACTCCGATAAATATGCCAATTGGGATTAGATTGTACCAAAAACTGGTCCAATTGTCGATATGAAACGCGGCGACGAACGCGCCAACCAGCATCAAAAATATCGTACCTGGTCCTAGGATTGTACTCCCTATAATAATACTTCATGATTTAATAAGTTATTAAAATATTATTATTATATACATACCCATTAGAATCCACTGGTAAGCAATGTACAGCCACGAGATATCATTATTCACCTTTCTCGTCTCTTTAGCAGTAATCAACAAGTCGAAAATATTTGCGACAGTGGAGGGAATCCATCTTCGTCGTTGTATGTAAAAATCTTTAAAGTGTTCTGGTGCATGTGTATAAGCATCACTTGCTGCCGAATATTCAACCTGATAAAAAAAGAATTAATTTTAGAATTATATATGCTATATTCTTATATACACGAAGTATATATGTATAGTTCGATTAGATTCAGTTAAATATTTTTATAATATATAATAATGATGCATAAGACTGATAAAAATACATTTTTCTTTCAACAAATTGCTTTTTCCAAGAGACTATGAATGACTAGAAATTGTAAAATATGATTATAAAATCACAATTCTAATCTGCTACTATAAAATAATACAAATATTAAAAAAAATATAATCAAATATATATATAGGCTATAAGAGCATTAACAGTGCAGAAATTGGTGCGCAAATTTCTATCTAATTGACCAATAATGTCTACATAAAATATAAATATAAATATATAATAGTTATTTGTACCATCTTATTCGAACGTTAAGATAGTACAGACAATTATTGTATATTTATATTTTATGTAGACATTATTGATCACAATTAGATTAAAATTTGCGTAACAATTTCCGCGCTGTGTTAATGCTCTTATAACGATATATTTGATCATATTTTTTAATTTCAAGAACTCGATTAACACTTAAAATTTTATATTTGTAAATATTTAAATTTGAACAAAAATTCCAAAGAATATTAATAAATGCTTAAGATTTTTACTGTATTTTATCTTTTATATGCAGATACTTTAAGGGGAAAATCTTTTAAATGTAATAATCTAATTCAATTTTTATTTGTCCAAAAAAAGATTCTAAATAATAAATAAATAAAAAACTTTTTATTAATCGTAAGAAAAATAATTAGATATTATAGCGTAAGTTTTAGATATGATACTGATTATCTATCAAATTACTAAAAACTAGCAAGTTACTCCGATTCAATACAGTTCTTCCAAAAATTGAATATTCTGTGCTATATATGTACACACATTAAATTTGAATTTTTTTTATTTAATATTAAATTAGATAAATTAAATAATGTTATATTTCTTTATTGAGAAATGTGATATATTTTTTTTAAATATAACACTGTGGCACTTTAGTTACAATTTAAATCCTATGAAGGATCTCTGTAGTTTTGATATACTACTAATTGCTAAAGCTTGGTTGCACCAACGTCACTTTGACCTTAAGCGAGATTTAAAACTTTATCTGTCTCGTTTTAAAACCAAAGAGACAGAAAGAGTTTTAAGCCTCGCTTAAGACCAAAGTAACGTTGATGCAATTGGACCTAAATGCAATATATTTTGGATATATCATGGTATTCTAAATAGTTTAGGATGACTCTTACCCGGGAACCCACTTGGAGAAGCAACGTACATAGCCATCGATCCTCACCTTGATCATATTGAATATAATGCCTGGCTTCGGTAGATTTGGTAGCATATTTTGCCATCACATTGGGTTGTTTTAACGCTTTTGCTCTAAAAAGCGAAAAACATCCAGGACTGCATAGAACACAACCGATCGTATGTTCTGTAGATTTTTGCAACCAATGACCAATAGCGTATTCGAATTTTTGAAACCAAACCATTGGACCTATAACGAACAGTAAAACGCTTAAAAGCCTAAAATAAAGTAATCTCTTTACTGTACAAGAATTCTGTCTCTATATTAGAAAAATTAAAAATTTCAAACCGTTTGTTTAATAATATAAAAATAAAATTTTTCTCCGTCTATTTCTTTGTCTGTCAATTTTATTAGAAAAAACTGATTCCCTGTGATTTCTCAGATCCTAATCACAGTTAAAATAACTATAACAGCATACACATTCTCTCTATAATAACTTGTTGCAACTCGCATACCTGATCCGATCGGATGTATTCGACCACACGCAGCACCAAGATCTCTATCTTTTTTCATCAAATCCACCAAAACTTTAACAGCACCCGGTCGAAAATCAATATCTCCGTCCAATGTAAGAATGTACGTGTTCTCGGCAATAGCATCTTTTCGATCCGTATCGATTGATAGTCCCATTAGACGATAACCCAAAAGATAATACATATACATGACCTTAAAAAATTGAAGTGTTTCTCAGAGCTTTTTTCCGAAATTTTAAACATACATTTTTTTCATTTCTTTCTAATAATTTTGTATTTGTATTTACAATATATTTATATATTTATTATCTTCAATTCAATTATTACATATATTTTATACACACACATATATATACATATACGTATATAGAGGAAAGCTGCCTATTATGAGAAAGATGCCTAAAATGAGATAGTTGCGTTTCTGTTAAACTAATAAACGCTATCTATTGATTCCATGGATTTATTATTCTTGGATTGAAAACCATTTAGTGGAAAATTCATTATTAGAGCATGCTTGTAGTCGTTATAAAAAAAGATTTCAGAATTTAGATGTCTTCAAGTTCCGTTGAGATGAGCCTTTAAACCTTGTTTATTATTTTATAAGTAAATATTTGGCGATAAATTCTTTATGTAGTGAGAGTCATACTAATAAAAAAATACGGGATATGTTGGATTGCTTAATTATAGAAATTAGATTTGATGATTGTAAAACTGTAAGACGTAGAACCCAGCAAACGAGAATGGAATAAAATGAATTGGAATTTTTTTCTATCCAAATACGTATTTTAAATAGCGAATACTTTTTTTTTATTTAATAAGATGCAATTGGATTCAATTAGATTCAATTGGATGCAATTGGATTGAAAAACTGCATTTCCTATTCAAAATTTTGAATTGAATAGTATTCACAATTGTGTGTGCACAGAAAAAGCTAATATTATTTTTAGATTGAAAGGCATAGAGATATGTTCCATGCAATTCCTATAAATGAATAAAAATGCATTCAGAATTGAAAAGTATTCATTTTAACAGTCGTGAATCAATATTTCTGAAAATTTGAATCCATTTCAATTCATTTCAATCTATTCTCGTTTGCTGGGAAATTATAATATGAAATACCCAGGGTATTTCCAATATGAAATAACCTATGCTTCTGTGTCATAGTGAAAATCCTTGATAAAGTATAAATGTGATTGTACAATAATTAAAAGGACAACCGAAATGAACATCGATTGCCTGTTTCTACAATGCTTGGTTCTAACTACTTGAAAACGAGTTCTAAGTACAACGCATTATATGCTCATTTTGCGCGCACACTGGTTGTTTGTTTGTATTTTAGAAACATTAAATAAAGTTTTTTAATTGCAATAGATACTGATGTACTTTGCGTTTTATTGTCGATTTCTCTGGGCATCTCATATTAGAAGCACAATTTTTTGACTTTGCGATTCGTTCACTTTTTACATTTCTTTAATTAAAAAAAAAAAAGAATTTGAATTAAATTTTACACAACATTATCTTAAAGCTTATTAAATTCCCTTCAAAATGACCTATTATTTTTTTTAATTTTGCCCATTTTTAGCATTTACACAAAACTTGATATTTCATAATATGGGCCTTTCCTCTATATATATTGTTTATACATATATGCGCGCACATTTAATCTTTTTTTTTTAGAAAAAAATCTTAATGTGCAAATGGTTATTTCTCATACTTGACTCCATCGTTTCCTATGTCTAATCTTGTTTTTATCCTTCAGATGAACTATTAAATTAGTTTTTCCTGGCAACGTCCATACAAGACGACCTCCATAAGGCGTTGGATATTTAGTAGGCGGTGAAAAACGCATGCATAAGTTCTCCACGTTTTTTTGAACCGTGTCCACCAACGTAATTACATATTGATTAACTTGCGTCTCATTTTCATCATGATTGCACAAACCAATGCAGCCATGCATACAACAAAATGCGTCGTCGAAAAAAATGTGCGCTGATATCAAAAGCACAATGTTCATTCAACAAACGTATTTAATAACTTTTTTTTAGTTTATATTTATTCATTAAATTTTTCGAAAATTGTATGAAGTTTTTAATAGGGTTCTTTTAGAAATAAAAATAATAGGATATACCAGGTGTACAAGTATGAAGTGCGGATTTGAGACAACGGTGGACCAATGCAGTGTGTAGTATAAAGATTTGACGTATATGCCATTTTGTTGTGCCATCACAAGTGTGAAACGCGCATAAGTGATAAGTTGAAAAAGTGTTTGCATAGTATTGTTTTCCTGTGTTCAATATGTCGAAATTTCTGCCAAATAAAGAGCATTCGCGGACAGCATTAATTTTTTGTTTTCATTTGAAAAAAATTGCTGCTGAATCATATTGATTACTTCGAGAAGCTTATGATGAACATGCTCCATCGCAAGATACGTGTGAACGATGGTTTCGGCGTTTCAAAAGTGGTGATTTCGATGTTGCAGACAAGGAACACGGAAAACCGTCAAAAAGGTACGAAGATGTAGAATTGCAAGCATTGTTGGACGAAGACGATTTACAAACACAAAAACAATTCGCAGAGCAATTATGCGTTAGTCAACAAGCTGTTTCCAATCGCCTACGAGAGATGGGAAAGATTCAGAAGGTCGGCAGATGGATACCACATGAATTGAACGAGAGGCAGATGGAGAAGCGCAAAAACACATTTTGCTCGAACGATACAAAAGAAAATCGTTCTTACATCGTATCGTTACTGGGGATGAAAAGTGGATATATTTTGAAAATCCCAAGCGCAAAAAATCATGGGTAAACCCAGGCGCACCATCCACATCGACCGCAAGACCGAATCGCTTTGACAGGAAAACGATGCTTTGTGTTTGGTGGGACCAGAAAGGTGTGATCTATTATGAGCTATTAAAGCCTGCTGAAACGGTTAATATCAAACGCTATAAACAACAATTGATCAATTTGAACCGTTCGTTACTCGAAAAACGACCAGAATATCGAAAAAGGCAACACAAGATTATTTTTCTCCATGACAATGCTCCATCACATACGGCAAAACCGGTTCGCGACACGTTGGAAGCACTCAACTGGAAAGTGCTAGCCCATGTGGCTTACTCACCAGACTTGGCTCCTTCCGATTACCACTTGTTTGCATCGATGGGTCATGCACTTGCTGAGCAGCGTTTTGGTTCGTACGAAGATGTGAAAAAATGGCTCGATGAATGGTTCGCGGCAAAAGGGGAAGATTTTTACTGGCGTGGTATCCATAAATTATCCGAAAGATGGGAAAAATGTGTAACTACAATAGCAATGAAGCATACTTTGAATAAACCACTTTTCATCATTCTTCCGAATTAACGTGTTTTTTTTTAATCCGCATTTCATACTTGTACACCTGGTATATATAAATGTCTAACAAGATCGATATTTAAAAGATATTAGGAATTCAAACAGAGAAGTTATCAGATAAAAGAAGAAATCAGAAAAGAAAAGAGAAAAAGAGACTAAATTACACATCTAGATAATTAAATTGGAATGTCAAAATTAAAAGTACTATATCCATTATAATTTTTTAAAAAGTAAATTTCGTTAATTACCCATGTAATGTTTTGTTAAAAAAAAATTTGTGACTTAATTTATATTATTAAATATTATATATAATTCCTTTTAATCTTTTAATTATACTTGTCTGTACGTCTTACTTTCTAATTCATAATAATCTTCAATTTGAATTTTGTAATATTTCTGTGTGACGCGTATTGCACATTGATCTTTATCCAATCGTAGAATACTGCCCACTAAATGATTCATCTCGCTCTTCTCTTCGTGCCACATTGTAGCGCACGCGTAAATTTTTGCAATTCGATCTTTACGCTTATTAACTGCTGTTATATTAGCATCAATTGAATCATCTTGGTTAAAATCTTGTTCGATTCTTCCAGCATCTAAGCTAATATCGATAACTTCAAGTCTCAGGTCATTCTGAAATTCCAATTAATTATAACAATAAATATAATTGCGATAATAAATCAACAAAATAAGAGTTTAACTCTTTACTGGAAGTTGAGCATCTTTAATTTCCCCTTCATGATTTTGTTCGATATTTTCATTCTGCATTCTTTTATTTAAAGCTAAGCATTGATCAATCATGAGTGAATCATAAGTAATCGTAGAGAAGATCCTTTCTGCTAATGCTAGTCTTTCGTTTTCAGTGGTCCACAAGTGTATCGTGATCCATATCTGTGACATGAACCATGTCAGCCAGAGCCAAGTATACCAACTAGAAAGAAATTCGTTCCAATTTCCAAAGAGGAAATCCTCAAAGAAAAGATAATCCGGGGTAACATTACAAAAGACACAGATGTCTTTTTTTCTGGCGATGCACAATGTCACAATCAAACATACTAGTCCTAAGCTAACTAGATTTGTTGGAAACGCGAAACCAAATCGGTGCATATGGGTTCTGTAAGCGAATTTACCTGAAAAAAATAAAAATTGAAATCAAAAGCACTCTTGAACTTATTCAAAGAAAATGCACATATACAAGAGTTAAAATATTTAAATTAAGTTAAAATATTAAAATCTTTTCGATAAGCCAAAGTAAAATGATTAATCAGAAAATTTTAAGTTGAATCTTCTCATGATGCAAATGTTTAAAAGACATTGCGAAAAATAAGTAAAATGAGCAAAAAACTATAATAAAAACTATAATAAACTGCATCATTCCATTCCTTAAAAATATCTTTTAAATATTGCTCACAATTAGTTATTTTTGGATTTGCAAAGCTTTCCTCTTATAAGATAAAGAACTTTAGTATAAGATTTTTAATGTAAGTATGTATGTATGTATATATATATATATATATATATATATA